CTTTGAAACAAAGTAACAAACTGATTTGTATGAAAACATTTCCTTTTATTCATAAGATGTGAATCGCTAGAGGTAAGAAAGGGGAAAGCACTTAAAAATATATGTTGGTGTATAAAAAAAAGCAAAGCATTATTCTTGGACTATATTTGAGAGTCCTAACAAAATTAATGTGAATTTAGAATATCAGTCTACCCAAAGAACACACTGCAAAAGTGAAAAAAAATTTAATCATACTAAATGAACATCAGTAGTACTTGCAATACAGTAACATTTGTAAGCCTAGTTCTAGTTCTCCCACTGCCATGAGTTTTTGGCCCTCTCTTGACTTTTCTTATGCTTATTATTTTTGCCAAACTTTAAAACCTCCAATATAAGGATCTTTCAAGGATTTTAAGAAAAGTTTTTAAAGAAAGCATTTCTGGTTAATTCTCTTAAAGTGGCAAGCATTAATGATAAGCTTTTACTTGAGGTGTATCAAATATTCTCTGATGTGACTGTGTTTTAAAAATATATTTGCAATTCTGATTTTTCAGAAATAATTTTCAATTCAGAGTCAAAACTATGAGGAGTTATTCTCACTAACTAGTTTTTTGACATGTAGGAATTGCTGATGTGGGTGAAGTGTCTAGCTTGATGTTTTATATCTAGCTATTAGTCATCTAATCCTCCTCCCTATTTTACTGAAAATATTTTCATTCTGTCTGACAAAAAGTAAAAAATTACATTAACTGTGACTAAAAATGTACTGCAAATGACATATTAATGAGACTAATGGTTCTTGCCTTATTCTCTAAAGTTTTTCATATTTTTACCTTTGGTGAACCTATATCCAGATAGCTTAATTATACAAAAGGTATCATTTTATTTGGGAACTTTAGGGAACAAAGATTACAATAAATGTTATCAGATCATTTGTTAATATAAAATTAAAAACAAAAGAACCAATTAAATGTCCTAACTATAAACTAAAAGTTCACTTTGGACATGTCCCAGATAGTTCTCCTATCAATGGGAGTAAAAGCATTACAGAAATATTAAGTTGAGCAATGCTCATGAAGAACTTAGATCCGTGAAGGAAAATTTTGACTCCAAGAAAAATTCATTTAACTTAGCATAAAAAGAAAACTGGTTACACTGTTTGTAAACCATTTGGATTTTAAAGGGATTTCATCAGTTTGTTTCATAATTGTTTCCATCATAATTAGGATTCAGAATACATACTTAACCCCCACATCTGGAGCAATACGTAGCTAGCCTTATCTCATTCACCTTATTCTACTTCCTCTAAAAAAATGCTAGACACACACACACACACGTCACAATTCATGCATTGATTTCATTATTTACTAAGGATCATAACCTCTTAATTTAAAAAATACTGATGAGGCCAGGCATAGTGGCACCTATAATTCCAGCTACTTGGGAGGCTGAGGCAGGAGGGCAACTTAGTGAGACCCTGTCTCAAAATAAAAACTAAAAACAGAAAAAGAAAAAAGAAAAAGAATTACTGGTGATTGACATAGAGAATTTTCTATCCCCCGCTGCCCCGGGATTTGGAATGTAAGTATTGCCATTTTATTGTTTCTGAATCACTAACTGCATTGGTCTCACCTAGACCTGTTATAAAAAAATGGCACTAGCTCCAAAATGTTGTTCATAATCATCTTGTTCAGAGACTAAACATTCTGCCCTAGATTTTGTGCCCAAGTACTCCCACCTACAATTCTTTAATTACATTTAGACCACAGTGATTTACAACTCAAGTCCTGTTCTTTCATTTTCAATTTAGAGTTCATGGTCCAACATTCTAACCATATCCTTAAAATAGATACTACCCGGCATGGGAACAGAGAAAAAGTCATACCGTCAGAAAAACTGATTTATGCCATGCCGAGTGCAGTGGCGCATCTGTAATCCCAGTGGCTCAGGAGGCTGAGGCAGGAGGATTGCAAATTCAAAACTAGCTTCAGCAACTTAGTGAGACCCTGTCTCTAAATAAAATACAAAAAGGGGCTGGGGATGTGGCTCAGTGGTCAAGCGCCCCTTGGTTCAATCCCCAGTACCAAAAAAAAAAAAAAAAAAAAAAAAAAAGAAAAAGAAAAACTGATTTGTTTAAAAATTATTCCAAATCCCAACAATTTCTTAGCACAGATAGTCTACTGCTCTAATTAGACTATTTCATGTCTACTTCCTCTTAATCTCTTCTTTTCTTCCACACGCTTTCTAGAAACCCACCACTTGGTTGTTAATCTAACCTAATGGTCCTCAAAGTATGGCTCTCAGACCAGCAGCATGAATATCACCTAGAAACTTGTTAGAAATGAAAATTATCAGGTCCTATTGCCTACTGAGTCAGAGACTTTGTGGATAGGGCCCAGCGATCTGTGTTTTAACAAGCCCTGCAGATAATTCTGATGCATGAAAATGTTGAGAATGAATTCAGCCACATTCTTCATTGAGAAGGGTTCTTTTGTTGATATATATTCTGAACAATAGAACAGTGCCTGCCACAAAACAAGCCCCAGTAAGTATTTTTTTTTGAATCAAACATTAGATTAGTACCTCCTTTTCATGCTGACAAATCTAGAAACCTATCTGCATCTGTATTGATTTTCTTCCCTCTTTTTCCAACTAAGGAAATGTGCCTCATTCTGTCAAAGGACAATATTTTCATATATAGATTGAATCTCATTCCTTCTTGCCTTTTCAAGAAATTTGCTCATTTGATCATCCCCTTTTTCCTGCATTATCACTTTTCTCTTTTTGAGTATGTTTGTTACTTTTGGGGGGTGGTTACTGGGGATTAAACCCAATGGTGCTTTACCCTGAGATGCTGGCATTACAGGTGTATGCCATCACACCTGACTCTGTTTTTCTCTTTTGGATCATTTCATTTCATACATAGTCAGACTCTACACTGTGCTAAAACAACAAGAGCAACAACCTTTCCCTGTCTTACATGTTCTTTATCAGTTACTACCCCATATATCGTTTCCCCTCTCTGCCAAACCTCCTTATGTCCTACCACAAATCAATTCATTCTAGTTTGATTTTCACCTCTCCTATTCAATGATTTTTTTTTTTTTGACAAAGCCAATGGATCTGGGGGCAGGAAAGAGTGCTGGGGATTGAATCCAGGTGGGCTTTACCACTGAGCTACATCGCTAGCCCTTGTTATTGTGAGACAGGATCTCACCAAGTTGCTGAGGCTGGCCTTGAACTTTCAATCCTCCTGTTGAAGCCTCCCAAATTGCTGGGATTACAGGCAAGCAGCACCACCTCCAGTTTAAGCCAATGATTTTTATAAAAAGCACCAGTGAGCCAGGCATAATAGCCTGTAATCCTAATGACTTGGGAGGCTGAGGCAGGAGGATTGCAAGTATGAGGCCAGGCTAGACAACTTAGCGAGATCCTATCTCAAAAATAAAAAGGCTAGGAGTGTGAGGCTTGGTGGCAGAGTACTCCTGTGTGCAATCCCCAGTGTAAATTCAGCTGGGCACAATGACACATGCCTATAATCCCAGTGACTTGGGGTATCAAAAGTTCAAGGCTAACTTAACAAGACCCTGTCTCAAAATAAAAAATAAAAGGGCTGGGGATGTGGCTAAGTTCCCCTTGGTTTAATCGCCTGTACTGCCCACCCCCCATACAAGTGTGCAATTCCATGGTTTCAATATATCCATAGTTGTTCAGTCATCATTGTAATCTGTTTTAGAAAATGTTCACCACTCTAGAAAGAAATACCTCATGCAGTAGTACTAAGTAGTAGTAAGTCCCCATGCTTGCTCTCCCTCACTCCTGCCTACCAGCCCTAAGGTATTGCTACTATTTCTTTAGATTTTTCTATTTTGGATTTTTCATGTAAGTAAAATCCTACAATATATAGCTTTTCTCATAATGTTTTCAATTTTCATCCATATATTGGAAAGACATCATATAAGTGCTCCATTCCTTTTCATGGATGAATAATATTCTATTGTATGAATATACTGCATTTCATTTATCTAAAATCAGTTGATGGACTGATGTTTTTTTAAAAAATCACTGGCTACAGCTGAGGTGGTGGTGCACTTGGTTGCTTCTGCTTTTCAGCTATTATGAATAATACTGTTATGTATATTCATGCACATGTTTTTTATGAAGTATGCTTTTATTTCTCAAGTATGTATACTCACCCTCTCTGTAAGGTCTCCTTAAGTTAATCCCATGGAATTGTTGGGCCATATGGTATAATGTTTAATTTTTTAAAGAACTACATAATTTTACATTCACACTTAGGGATATATGAGTGTTCCAATTTCCCCAGAGTCACCAACACTTGTTATTACTTGTCTTTTTCACCCTCCCCCCAGTTCTGGAGATCAGACCCAGAACTTTTACATGTTAAGCAAGAGCTCTACCATTAAGCTATGTTCCCAGTGCACATATGATGTGTTTTGAGTTAACTTTTTAATATGGTAAAAGGAAAGGGTCCAACTTTATTCTTTTGTAAATGTATACCCAGTTATTCCAAGCACCAAAGATGGTTCTTTCCCCATTGAATTGTTTTGACATTCAAGTTGATGATGATTTACATGTTATTAGATTCAGTATTCATTTTTTTCACTTATGAATTGGACTTCTTAGCAGAACTGTTGACTACTCCCTCCTTCAAATACTCTACTCTCTTTGTTCTCTTGCTGTTTCTTTTCAGTTTTTATAGGTTCCTTATCTTCTACCAAGCTTTTTTTTAAAATTTAATATTTTTAGTTGTCCATGGACCTTTATTTTATTTATTTACATGTAGTGCTGAGAATTAAACCCAGTGCCTTACTCATGCTAGGCAAGCGCTCTACCACTGAGCCACAACTTTAGCCCCTTCTACCAAGCTTTTAAATATTGGGTTTTCAATTACTTTGTGTAACAAATTATCACAAAACTTATTGATATAAATCAATAATTTATTTTATGACAGTTTCTTTCAGTCAGGAGTTACAGACTGGGCAAAACAGAGTTGGCCTACTCTGATCCATGATGGTTGGAGCATCAGCTGAAAGACTTAGGCTGTGCACTTACATGTCAAGCAGCTGATGATGACTATAGCTGTGGGGCCTTCAGTTCATATCCACATAAGTCTGTTTGTGTGGTTTCTCCATGTATGCTGGTTTGGGCTTCCTCACAACATGGTGGCTAGGTTCCAAGAGCAAGCATCTAGAGGGAAAGAGGAAGAAAGAAGCCTGGGGCCATGTGGCCTTTTTGACCAAAATTCAAAAGTTACAAAGCATCACTTTTGCCACATTTTAAAATCAAAGTAGTCATCAAGTCTTACCTCCATGTAAAGGGAGGGAAACAGATTCCACCTCTTTCTGGGAAATGTCAAGGTTCTATAATAGCATGAGGGCTGGGGATGCAGTTCAGTGGCAGAGTAGTTGACTAGCCTATGAGGTCCTGGGTTAGAGCTCCACAACCACAGGACAAAAAATCCTGGGACCAGTGACATTGTTGCGACCTCTTTTAGAAAGACAATCTGCCAAGTCTTTTTTGGCCACTTAGTTCACATTCTTCTCATATGTTAAATATACTCCACCTCTTCCCTAAGGTCTCCTGAAGTCTAATCCCATGACTGGCATCATGCTCAGGCTGAGCTTCAGGATCTCACTGAGGTAAGACCTAGGTGCAGGTAGAGATTCTTTGGGTATGGTTTCTTCTTTGCACTCTTTGGTTCTTTTTCATCTGAAAACCTATGAACTAAAGAGGCAAATACAGCCCCCACCCCATTACCCCTTATATAATGTTAAAGCATAGGATAATCTTCTTATCCCAAAAGGAGGAAACCAGGAGGCACATAGAAGTCACTGATCCAAAACAGTTGTCTTTTTACATTTTCTCTATGTGATCCATTCTGTTTCCATAGCTTTAAATACCATCCATATGTTTGTGACTTCCAAACTTACCAACATTTCTGAACACCATACTAGAATGTCCAATTAACCATTTTATATCTTTACTAAGTTATCTCAGATATTTCCAAATAAACATGTTAAAATGAACTCTTGCTATCTACTTCACCCCACTTCCTCCACAAATCTGGTATTTTCCTAGTTTCCTTTCTTTGTAGATGATCATACCATTCATTTAATCGCTCAGATAAAAATCTAGTTCTTAAATTTTAATTCTTTTCTCTTTTCCTTTCTCCTCTTACATTAATAATCAACAGATTCTATATTATCTTTCTCTAAAGTAAATTCATTTCCCTTTCTCACCTGGTTTGTAACTGTATTCTTATCAATCACACTTATTCATTCTTGTTTCCTTCTAATTTTCTTTGACACAGCAACCAAAGTAATATTTTAATTGGTGTGTGACTAAGGCGTTCTCTTGCTCAAAATCTGTGAATTTTCACTACACTTTGAGTAAAATCTAAATCCTATACCATGGTCTAGAGAGCCTCCAAAACTGGCCTTTGCCTAGCCTGTAACTTTATTCTCTGCTTTGGTACTTACCCACCATGCTTCATTTCCTCTGAGTTTCTTTCGGTTCCTTGAACTCCTCCTGAGTTTCTTTTAGTTCCAAGTTTTCATAAAGGTCTATACACATACTATTCCCTCTGCCTAAAATATTTTCTCCTGACTTACCACTCCCACATAACTGAGTCTTCATCTTTCGAAGGAATGGCATTCCTGACCATCCTACATAGGTACTACCCCATTTATTATTCTGTCACTACATTGTTTGTTTCCTTTATAAAACTTTTCCTGCATTTTAATTGTATCCTATTTGTTCTTTATCATCTCCTTAGCTGGATTGTAAATCCTAGTAGGTCAGGTGCCATCTCTGTGTTATGCACCAAGTGCCTAGTAGAGTTTTTAACCACACAATACATCCTCAATAAATATTTGTAAGACTGAGTGTGGTGGCTTATCACCTGTAATCTCAGTACTTGGGAGACTGAGGCAAGAGGACTGCAAGGTCAAGGCCAGTATGGACAACTTGGTGTGAGACCCTATCTCAAAATGAAAAATAAAAAGGGTTAGGGTTATAGCTCAGTGGTAGAGTGTCCCTGGGTTCAGTCTCCAATAGCACAAAAATAAGTACTTGAATATTGTTTAAAGGTATAATTTGAGGTGTTATTACTAATATAATTATTAATGTTCAATGTATGATTTCCTAATTTTTACTGAAAATTGCCTTTATTTTTCTCTTTCAGTAATTGCCCTTCATTTTTGGCTGCTGCGTTAGCCAGAGCCACATCAGATGAAGTGCTTCAAAGTGATCTTTCTGCACATTATATCCCAAAGGAAACGGATGGCACAGAAGGGAGTGTGGGTGAGTACTTTGTACATTATTTGTTTAAAAATCCTAAAATCACGTGTAATGGTCCACAGAATATATCTGCAAAATACTAAATCTAATTACATTTACCCACTAGTTGATTATAGAGTAGAGAAAAAAATGCAAAAACTTTTATCAAATAAATCAATAAAAAGAGAAAAGAGGAGACAACACAAATGTATTTTGAAAAAGTGTAGTAGTATATGGAAGGTAACTGTCACAATAGGAGATTGTCATAAAAATATGTAGATAAATGGAAAAAGTAGTGAGAAATATGAATACAGAACAATAAGTGGATGAGGTGCGAGTTTGAACAAAACCCATTTAAAAAATTTAAATTTAAGATCTAAGTTAAAAATCAGGTATAAAAATTTAAGAAATTAGTTGTAACAAAACTTCTCATTAGTTATACTTTGTGTCTATCAGTGAATCCAGCTCTTAATGACAGGCATGTAACGTGTAGTTTAATTGTATGGGTCAACAGTCTTTTTTTCCAGGAATAGTATTAGCCTCAATTTCTTAATGCATATTTGTTAATGTATTAGGCCTATACATTTGACAGGATTGAAAGAAAAGATTTTTTTAAAAATTAGAGAACTATTACTCTAAGCCACCTCTGTTTTTTGATGCTGGGGATTGAACCCAGGACCTTTCCCATGTCAAGCATGTGCTCCACTACTGAGTTATGTCTCCAGCACACAACTCCCCCCAATTTTAAGGAATTTTACTAGTTCATGCTGTTTGTTTTGTTATAAATATTTGCTTATAAGGTAAATAAGGAATGAAGTATATTATTAATTTGAATTGGAATGGCTAGATTCCAGAGAATGTGAGGCAAATACAAAAATAAACATTCCTGTTCTTTATCTTTCTAGATTATTTTTTTTTTTTTACAGAAAGTTGTCAAGGAAGGAATTACTCTGCTTGTTTTTAGTGAGAGTAATTGATTTACCTGGAACCAAACTGTTCCAGAGTCAAGCTGGATAGGATTCCTGCTACAAAGCATCGGTCTTTCCTCTGGTACTGATGCCTAAAGCACAGAGCCTTGTACATGGAAAGATAAGAGAGATTAAAATTCTGCTTCACTGAGTCAGCGTGATGGCTGACTCAGCTCCAGCTCAGTACAATGACATTAGCGACTGATGAATAATTTACAGCTGTGAGGGGGTGGATTGCTACATTGGACGATTTTCACTTTTTCACACCCCCTTTTTATTTTATTTTTCCGTTTCATGTGGCAGTTATTTATGTACTGATACCCACCATTCCCTGCAGAAGAACACTTAATGTTGCAAGACTGAAGTCCTACCCTACATGCCTATTTTGGAAGAAATTTCTGAACCCCAGAAGATAGCGAAAGTAAAATGAAGGGTTTTTCTTTTGGTAGATATTATTTTCTAATTTTGTATTTTTCCAAGATATTACTCAGTAATGTCTTCTTCTATTGCTGTGATTCATACCGTACTGTAATTCTAAACTATTGGCAAATCTTTAATCTGTTTAATCCAAATTAATCCAAATTACTCAGCGTGAATTGCTATAGGGACTATTGTAATAATTCATACATCAGAGTGAGACATGAGCATAATGAATAAGGCCTGCAGTCCCTAGCTTTTTAACATTTATTTTTTAGTTGTAACTGGACAACGATGTCTTCGTTTCATCTATCCATTTTTATATGGTGCTGAAGATTGAACCCAGGGCCTTGCACGTGTTAGGCAAGCGCTCAACCTCTGAGCCACAATCCCAGCCCCCCCGAAGTCACTAGCTTAAAGATACCGAAGGTCCCCAATGAAGTACCAGTTTGTTCCTCGTCTTAGCTGTTTCCAAAAGAAACTTAAAAAAAAAATCCTTTTCATATTAATGTCATACCTAACAGAATGTCTGCTAAGTAAACTTGCATATATGACTTGATACAAATTTTATTTGGTAGATGTAACCTTGTTCAGACCACCTGAAACTAATTTGAAATATCCCACTGAAAATTAAAAACACAAGGGAAAATTATCACTAATATGGAGGAATTTAAGAGGATTTTGATGTTTGTATAAATATATATGAAAACCTAAATACTTTCTGGAAAAATATAAATGAACAAAGTTTACTTAAAATGAAAAAGAGACACTGTCAAGGACAAAAACATAGGGATTGACCAAATCGGTGAATATTTTGGAATGACCAAAGAGGTATTACAATGCTTTTTAGAATGGACATTGTAATTACACAAAGAAGAAAAATTTGTGTAGCATAACACAATACCCAGACCTACCTTAGACAAAAGTAGAAGAGGAAATGACGGCTCAGCCTTAGTAATGCAAGTAAATATATTAAAATATTTTTATATTGACCATTAATTAATTCAGTAGATATTATTGAGGACCCACCATATGTCCCACAATGATAGGACAGAATTTGGCTCAAACCAAAATGTAGCATTATGTTAATGTACACTTAGTAATTTTTTGGTTGTTAAGTGGCCAGAAGCACAACTCAAATTAGCTTTAGCAAAGCAGAATTTATTGGCTACGTTCCACAGTAAGGACTACACAGTTACCTTCAAATGATGTCAACAGAAGCTGGTATTTCTCCAACTCTAAGCTGTACTTTCTATCATTTTGATTTTATTTTCAGGCTCCATGTGGTAGCAAGATGACTGATGGGAGCAACATGTCTTCATTTGCCCAAGTTAAAGTTGAACAGAACAATAGTAGCTTTTCTCAATTGCTCTTACATAAATCACAGAATTTGCTCTAATTGGCCCAACTTGGATAGTTATCCATTCCTGAATCAATCACTGTGGCCAGAGGAACATGATTCTCTAGTTGGTTAGACTTGTATCACCTTTTACCATAGGATGCACATGGATTGAGACCAAGAAG